CCTTTGCCTGGGATGGGTCAGATAGCCTATCCACGAATGCCTGTAAATTGTGATTCATATCGAAGCGCCGGGCCTTCTGGGTCTCGGTCTCAGCTTGCTTCAGCATGCACTGCAGCAGGTCCACGTCGAGCTCTTCAACCTTCATGAAGCACTCGGTCCATCAATTATTGCGAAGAGTCGCCGCGTCGGAAACCTCAACACCTGCTGCGGGCACCCCTTCGTGCGCGAGAAGCTGCGCTTCAGCTTACAATTGAAGCTCTTGGCGATGGCCGATGCTCATTATTCCGAGTGTGGTATGCTCTGGGAACGGTAGTTGTTCTTCCCCACCAGTGTGCTGTTTTGCGTTTCGCGTGCGCGCGGCGAACTCGTGGTACAGCCCTCTGCGTAGACCAGTGTACCGGTAGAGCACGTCCTTGATAACAATGTCGGCCGGTTGGCGTCGTCCATCTGCGCAGTAAATGTCTTCTGAAAGAACATACCATATCGCTGCCCAAGAAAGAGGGCCGCCTCGGGATTGGACTGGTGCGCGGCATGTACTCGGGAGCCCCCCCACACCCCACACACACACACACACACACACACACAATCCTCTGGTGGAAGAATATTATCAAAGGGCGGTTTTGTCGAACAGGCCGCTTTCGGAATCGTCAAAGCCGCTGGTCTAGCATGTCCATGGGGTTGAGGTCGTCGGCACCCATGTCGTGGCCGAAATTGTGCGGGTGGTTCACGGTGGGCGGCGAATCAGCTGCCCCAGGATGCTCCCATCTGTAACTCGTCTCGCCATCACTGTCATGGACACCTGGCTTCGCGATACCCTCAATCATGGCGCGATGTTTACTCACTGTCCGCTGTTTTTTCATACGTTGTCGTTTGCTGCTCGGGCCTGGTTTGCTCTTCCTCGACGCTGGCGGGTGCGAGAAGTGAGATGGTAGCTGAAAGCGACGCACAGAAATCCTTTTTTCCCAACCATCCTGTGGTGTCGGGTCCTCGTTTTGAAGAGACGGTGCCCCGCGTTTCCTTCCTCCTCCTCTCCTCCTCCGCCTCCTCTCCTCTCCTCCTCTCCTCCCCTCCTCTCCTCCTCTCCTCTTCACCCACCCAGTACACCGTTTCGTGGCTCCATAGGGAGCTCCACCGAAGGCCCCAGTGCCCGCGCCCGCATGCGTCACCCACACCCATTTCGGCACACCCCTCACACGTTTCGTGGCTCCATAGGGAGCTCCACCGAAGGCCCCAGTGCCCGCGCCCGCATGCGTCACCCACACCCATTTCGGCACACCCCTCACACGTTTCGTGGCTCCATAGGGAGCTCCACCGAAGGCCCCAGTGCCCGCGCCCGCATGCGTCACCCACACCCATTTCGGCACACCCCTCACACGTTTCGTGGCTCCATAGGGAGCTCCACCGAAGGCCCCAGTGCCCGCGCCCGCATGCGTCACCCACACCCATTTCGGCACACCCCTCACACGTTTCGTGGCTCCATAGGGAGCTCCACCGAAGGCCCCAGTGCCCGCGCCGCATGCGTCACCCACACCCATTTCGGCACACCCCTCACACGTTTCGTGGCTCCATAGGGAGCTCCACCGAAGGCCCCAGTGCCCGCGCCCGCATGCGTCACCCACACCCATTTCGGCACACCCCTCACACGTTTCGTGGCTCCATAGGGAGCTCCACCGAAGGCCCCAGTGCCCGCGCCCGCATGCGTCACCCACACCCATTTCGGCACACCCCTCACACGTTCGTGGCTCCATAGGGAGCTCCACCGAAGGCCCCAGTGCCCGCGCCCGCATGCGTCACCCACACCCATTTCGGCACACCCCTCACACGTTCGTGGCTCCATAGGGAGCTCCACCGAAGGCCCCAGTGCCCGCGCCCGCATGCGTCACCCACACCCATTTCGGCACACCCCTCACACGTTTCGTGGCTCCATAGGGAGCTCCACCGAAGGCCCCAGTGCCCGCGCCCGCATGCGTCACCCACACCCATTTCGGCACACCCCTCACACGTTCGTGGCCCCATAGGGAGCTCCGCCGAAGGCCCCAGTGCCCGCGCCCGCATGCGTCACCACACCCATTTCGGCACACCCCTCACACGCTTCGTGGCTCCATAGGGAGCTCCACCGAAGGCCCCAGTGCCCGCGCCCGCATGCGTCACCCACACCCATTTCGGCAGGACACGTTTCGTGGCTCCATAGGGAGCTCCACCGAAGGCCCCAGTGCCCGCGCCCGCATGCGTCACCCACACCCATTTCGGCACACCCCTCACACGTTTCGTGGCTCCATAGGGAGCTCCACCGAAGGCCCCAGTGGCGGCGCTCACATGCGCATGCGTCCCGCACACCCATTTCGGCACATCCCTGACAGGTTTCGTGGCCCCATCATCCACCGGAGGCCCCAGTGGCGGCGCTCACATGCGTCACCCACACCCACCCAATTCGGCACACCCCTCACACGTTTCGTGGCCCCATAGGGAGCTCCACCGAAGGCCCCAGCGGCCGCGCTCACATGCGTCCCCGCCACCCATCCCGGCACGCCCCTCACAACAACAGGTTTCGTGGCCCCATGGGGAGCTCCACCGAAGGCCCCAGTGCTGCCGCCCGCATGCGTCACCACCCGCACCCAATTCGGCACACCCCTCACACGTTTCGTGGCCCCATAGAGAGCTGCACCGAAGGCCCCAGTGGCGGCGCTCACATGCGTCCCCGCCACACATCCCAGTACACCCCTCACGCGCTTCGTGGCCCCATAGGGAGCTCCACCGAAGGCCCCAGTAGCGGCGCTTACATGCGTCTCCGCCACCCATCCCGGCCCCCCCCCCCTCCCGCAGCAGCATCATGTTTCGGGGACCCATAGGGAGCTCCACTGGAGGCCCCAGTGGCGGCCCGCACATGCGTTTCCGCCACCCATGTCGGCACGCCCCGCGCGTGTTTCATGTCCCCATAGGGAGCTTCGCCGAATGCCCCAGTGGCACCCATCTTGGCACACCCCTCACACGTTCCGTAATCCTATGGGGGATTCCATTGAAGATGAAACCCGCAGCTGCGGTACTGACAACTGCATATGGTTGGGTTCTTCGCCAGGCTAATTTTTTAAATCGCCCTCGCACGCGCAGTACGCATCCGACGCGTGTGTACCCTGGTATTGCAACACTCTCGATGCCCAAGAAATAGCGTTCAGCCTCCGTGCTGATGAGGGCGTAGTTGATTAGCGTCGCAATCGTCGGGTTTTTCTTCTCGTTCTTTGCGCGGCATGTGTATCCCTCTGGGATGGTGGCGATATGTCCTCCCACTGCTGCGGGCAAGACTGAAGAACAGAGCTTGTCTGGACATATACTCGAATCGCCCATCACGATCCACGGTGCCGTGCTGCAGCTCAAGGTGGGCGAAGGAGGCGGCGACGATTTTGCGCGCCTTCTGGCGTTTCTCCCGAACCCTGCGGTGCCAGGCTGGCTCTGGGGAGCGCCGGCGGCGCGTCGCCGCAAGCGCGGTACCAGCCGATGGCGGCTGACGGATGAGGTTCGGGCCTCCTCTTCCTGCGTGGCGTCCAGATCCTCCTCGTGCATGGCGGAGGAAGGGGCCTGAACTGGGCGTGGCGTTTTGCCTGCGAGCCGGAAGATCAGGGGAACGGAGGGAACGGCAACGACGAAATAATCAGATCCAGAAGTGTTGCCCGCGCTGGGGCGAGAACGCTATTTCGAACAACGTGATCACCGATCTGGAAATATGGCCAACGTCGCAGCGGATATCCATTGTTTCATGGCCGAATGCGTTCCGATCAAAAATAGGATCGAGACCGCGAGGGCGCGGATATGGAAAAACGACAAAGCGAGATCGCTACTCTCAGAACTCTCCCAGGGCGCGTTCTGACCAGGATTTCGAGGCGAACCCAGCCGTGGCGACGAGGATGGGTAGCGGTATCGACATCATTTCCTGCTCTGAGCGAGGGCGTGGATATGAGAGGAAGAATACACGGCATAAGCAGGAATGCTCGAAGGTCCACGCGGAATTCTTGGATCGGCGATGGACCCCCCTCCCTGGCGCGCGAGGCGGGGGGCTGTGCCGGACGCGCCATCAGGGGGCTCCGACGCCGATCAAAAAAAAACCGCGCGGAGCTCTGAGGGCCCATGCTGGTGACTCTGTGTTCCTCGAGGATCTGGACAGAGCTCGCCGCTCGAGATTGCGTTCGACTATTTCTAGTAACGGTCATTACCTGTTTGATAGTTTCCAGGGTAAGTTCTTTAATGGTTTCCAGGTTCCCAGGCGCCCGTTTTACAAGACACAAAAGCTGAAAACTAAGGAACGCCCAGGGCGATTCCAAGACACACTAAGACTACTGCTAGTACTAATGCTACGACGAGGACTACTCCGATTAGTTTCGTTTGGGGGGGGGCGCGGGTACCGGCAACGTTTGGGCGGGGTGTGGCACGTCGGGGCGGGGGTGCGCTGCCATCGCCGCAGGACGCGCGCGAGCGCCAGCGTGCGGGGGGGGGGGTCTGGGTCTCCCCCACCACCACCCGCGGTCGTTCCCGTTGCCCGGGAGAGGGGGCGGTTGGCCCGTGCATATCACGACCGCCACGCGCCGGAGGACCAAGAAACAATCTCGAGGTGCCCTGGTGCTAAGTCCGGCGTGTCCCTCTACAGGAGGAATACTGAAAAACAGAAAAACCATGGCATGGGACGATGTTTCAACTATTGCGACTCTTGTGAATTTTTCACCCAGAATCCCCCTGTAGGAGGACACGCCCGACCTAACCCTGGGAAGGAACCGAACTCTATATATACCGACGCTTTCTCCGGCCCCGCACGGGGACTCGCACAGGCAAGCGGATCCTGGTGTACACGGAATCCTGGTGTATACATGTTCCGTTGCCTTCCACGGGAAAGCGGATAAAAAAGCATACACCACACCACCCCGACGTCGCCCCCCGACCCCTCAAAATCCCCCGGGATTGCAAGACAGCCCGCCACTGGCAACGTAGATGCTCCAATTTCCGCCCTGCGGGTCCTCCACCGCCACCGCGCTGCAGCGGCTCCTCTTCTGGCCGCCGCCGCCGCCGCCCGCGGACGGCCGCCGCCCCCGGCCCGCCGCCCCGGCCTCTGGCGGCGGGGCGGGTCGCATCGGCACGCGCACCGCGTCGCGCCGCGGCCGCTCGGAGGCCAGATCGAACCGGCCCCGTCGCACGCAGGGAGGCACAGCAGAGGCCCAACCACGAGCCGCACCAAATCGTGGGAAGACTGGAATCGCGTCGGGCCGGGCCTGCTGCCTGACCGCATCGATCGGATCGCAGTGGACCCTGCTGGGGCGGCTTCTGCTGAGGGGGGGGGCGAACATCGACCTGGAATCGGCGACACATCGCCCACACATCGGCGCCAGGCCCTCGACGGTGGATCCCAGCGTCCCTGGGAGGGGGGGGGCCAAGCGGGCCGCCATCGGCGATCCCTGGGCGATTGGGGATCGATGTATCACCCACTGAGACGACCCCCCCGCCCCAGAGCTGCCCCTGGATCTTCGGTTCCCCCCCCCCCTGGCCACGGCGCCCACGGCGCCGCCGAGGGTGAAGACGGACGTCAGCGGGGAGCGGTGCGCCCTCTTGGCCTCCGCGGCGGGGCGAGGGGTGCCACGGGCGGCGCGGCCTCTCAAAGCAAGGCTGCGGGTGCCCCTCGCCCTACTTGACCCTCCTCCTCCTCGTCCTCACCAACCGCATCCTCCCTTCTCCCTCCTCTGCCGCCTTCCGCTGCCTCCTCCCTCCATCCCCAGCCCCGCCTACTGCCTCCCCCGTCCCCTATATCCTCCCCCTCCTCTTCCCCTTCCTGCCAACTGTTCCTGATCCCCCTCTCACTCCTCGCCCATCCACATTCCCGCCCCCACCACCGCCCATCCAACTTCCCGCCCCCCTCCTCCTCCTCCTCCTCCTCATCCTCCTCCTCCTCCTCCTCCTCCTCCTCCTCATCCTCAGCAGCAGCAGCAACAGCAGCAGCATCATGGTCATCGTCATCGTCATCATCATCATCATCATCATCATCATCATCATCATCATCATCATCATCATCATCATCATCATCATCATCATCAGCATCATCATCATCATCATCATCATCATCATCATATCATCATCATCAGCATCATCATCATCATCATAATCATCATCATCATCTCATCATCATCATCCATCATCATCAGCAGCAGCAGCAGCAGCATCATCATCATCATCATCATCACCATCATCATCATCATCAGCATCATCATCATCATCATCGTCATCATCATAATCATCATCAGCAGCATCATCATTATCATCATCATCATCATCATCATCAGCATCATCATCATCATCGTCATCATCATCATCAGCATCAGCATCAGCATCATCATCATCATCATCATCATCATCATCATCATCATCATCATCATCATCATCATACTCTTCTTCCCCCTCGTCCGCCCCCCCTCTCTCCCCAAGACATGCATCGCCTGGATGTTTTTCAATACGGGGCTCCTAGCAGTCCCGACCCTTTCCCCCGGGCCAGTTCTTCACCCCGAGCCGTCTTCTGACGGCCCCGAGGCCCAGCGAGGGCCCCCCGAGGCCGAAAGCGGCCACAGAGCGCCCGTCGTGATTTGGTTCGCGACGCGGACATGTCTGGGCAGCCTCCCGCACAGCCCCGCGGCTGCTTGGTGAGTGGGCCGGCCGGCTTGCGGCGCGTCTTGTAGCTACGCTCTCGCTCGCCGCGTGCGCTCTTCGCTCGCGGTCGCGACCAAAAAAAGGACCTGCCTGGGCAACGCCCCTTCCCCTCACCCCCAAAAGTACCCCCCTGGGCGGCCTCCAAGAAGCTGTCGAGGGCGCCCGGACGCTGCCGGGCGGCGCCAGCCGCCTCTCGGCCTCCCAGAGGGGGGGGGGAGAGCAGCCCGGCGCCTCCTGCTGCCGCTGCCAATGCCGCCTTGCCTCCTCCTCCTTCTCTTCCCCCTTCTCATCCTCCTCCGCCTCCTCCCTCCTCATCCTCATCCTCCTCCTCCTCCTCCTCCTCCGCCTCCGCCTCCTCCTCCTCCTCCTCCGCCTCCGCCTCCGCCTCCTCCGCCTCCTCCTCCTCCTCCTCCTCCTCCTCCTCCTCCTCCTCCTCCTCCTCCTCCTCCTCCTCCTCCTCCGCCTCCGCCTCCTCCTCCTGGAATCAACGATTCGTCGCCGAGAGATCGGCGATGGGCCCCCGATGTTTGGGAAACCCAACATTCCTGGGCAGGTTGGGTCGCCGAGGCCCCGATAGGCGAGGAACTAGGGATAGAGGGTCGATGCTCCCCACCCCCTTGGCGGCGCGCAGGGGGGGATAGGAAGGGGGGGATAATGCCTCTTAGAAGCACCCTTGCTTCTCAGAAGGCGCGCGCCTTCTAAGAAGCCGCCTCCTTCTAAGAAGCCTTCTCCCCTCCCCCTCCCCCTCCTGCGCGCCGCCAACGCCCCCTGAGCTAGCAGTGTCACTTCCCCGTCGTTGCTCCTGATCTTCCGCTTCCTGGCCTTCGGGTCAGAACCCCGGCCCCGGCGGCCGTTCGGGACGACTCCGGCACCCCGGGACCTGGAGGGGAGGAAGACGGGGAGCATGACCAAGACGGAACGCGGAAACGCGTCGATCTTGGTCAGCGTCGATCTTGGTCAGCGTCAACTCGTGGCTCATCCTCACGAGCCGGCGACGGCCGACATGGACCATGACCAAGATCGGCACAGACAAGACCCCGCGAAATCTTGGTCATGGCCCCTGGAAGCCGCCTGGGCCTGGGGAGTACTCGAAACCTCCATGAGACCTCTGACACTGCCCCGGCCCCGCCTTCCTCCGCCAGCGATGGCGACGGCGGCCACGGTGGCAGCGAGGACGATGGCGGCGGCGGTGGCCACGACCCCTGACATCCTGCGAAACAGAAGGGATGCTGAAAGAAGGAACGCTCGACAAGGAACGGAGTCCCCTTTTCCGCGCCAACAGCGCGCGGGTGCAGAAGGATGGTAAAAGGACCAACCGCGGAAGGAGCTAAGGAACTGCGAGCCCCGTCTGAACCCGAAGCGGTCCTCATGTCAACGGCTTTGCCTGTACCCTCCGCCATCACTGGTTCATTCCAGGGTCCAAGAAGTCCCGACCCCTTCCGCAGGGGTAGCGTTGCGTCGCGGATCCGTGTGCGATGGCCCGGGGCCACGATGAACAGGCACCGAAGGCCGAAGTGGAGGCAAACGACCGCACCGAAACCACATGCCATACCGCCAGACTCTGGGGACGGCCACGAAGGGCGGCCAGGACAGCGACGGCGCCGACCGCGGCGACGACGACGCCGACGACTGCGAGGATAGGCGACGATATCTGAACCCTACCCCCGCCAACGATGGATGCTCCTGAATCGATGAGAGGCGGGGGTAGGTTCGGGTTTCGCCACGTGCGCGACGACTTCCGAACCCTCCCCCCGCCGCCCATCGAGTTGCCTGAATGTTTGATCGGCGGGGTTTCTATGGGGGGTGGGAGAAGAGATCGGACACCCCAACGACAGCAGACTCCAAGAGCGAGCGCATCAGAAGTAATGCCAGACAGGCGGACTGGTAGGGGCGGAAATGCGAGAAGCTAACACATAGAGAGAAGACAAGGCTCACAACCTCGGGGGCGCGTGCGCTACAATCGTTGATCGGCGAGGGTAGGTTGGCGGCGCGCACAAGGGGGTAGGGGGAGGGGAGAAGGCTTCTTAGAAGGAGACCGCTTCTTAGAAGGCGCCGGCCCTACATCTACAGACAAGGCCCGCGTCTTTAAGAAGTAGGGGTGCTTCTAAAGAAGCCTCCCCCCTCTTTCCCATCGCTCGGACGTCCATTCCCCGTGCATGTTCGGCTTCGTGCTTGCATTGAATTGCCTTGCAAGGTGCTCCAGGATGCTCCTCGATGGCGCCCTCGCGGAGAAAAACATGAGCACGTCCGAGCGATGCCAATACCCTCACACTACCCCCCCTCTGCACGTGGCCGAGCATAGGCTTCGGGGAGCGAGAGGGGGGGGGGGAGCGAGAGGAGTTGAGTTGAGTTGTGCGCTCCCCGAAGCGGTCTCTGAAACCCCTGACGGTAATCTGACAGCTGGCGTTCAAGCACTCTGCTCTTGCCACCCTGGCAAGAGAGAAAACCGAGGGAAACGGATCTGAGGGCTCGGCGTTCGACGGGACCCACGTTACGCCACCGGGGGCGAGAGGAGGGGGAGCGCGAGGAGGCACACGCGTGGAGGGGGCACAGGTTTAGGTCGGGCATGCCCCCTCCAGCAGGGAGAGACTCGACAGTGGTCAAAAACAGTCTGGGGCGATGGCTCTGCCATGTTTCCACCCCTTTGGCTTGCGTACCCCTCGACTCGGCTCCGCCCTTCGTCCGCATTCCGCCCCTGGGAGGACACGCCCCACCTCGCTAGGCCTGGGTGCCGGGAGGGCCCGGGCTTCGCCGCCGCGGGGACTCCGGCGGCGAGCGGCGGCCACGACGCGCCGACGGCGGCCGACCCGGCGAGGCCGCCGTGGGCGCGGGAGAGGCCTCGGCCACGCGCGGCCAGGCGCACGGACAGCAGCCTGGCGGCCTGCTGCCCCGCAGCACGCGAGGAGTGCACGGGTCGAGGAACAGATGGTGGCGCGGGGGCCGGCGGAGAGCTCACGGGGGGAGGGCCCGGGAAGCGCAGGCGCGCCTCCGGGGGCCACGCCTCCTGTGCTGCTCCCAGGGCACTCGAGGGCCACAGCTCCCAGGAATGGGCTCGAGCACCCAGAGAAGAGTATCAAAGCAGCGTCTTCCCGACGCGCCAGCGAAGTGTCCAATGAGCATCGCCCCCCAGGGCCCGACACGTGAAATCCTCCAGTTTGGACACTTTCGGGGTGCTCGAAATTCATTCTGGCGATCAAGGCTAAAGTGGGCCGGAACAGTAGAAGGCCACACAGGAATCAGGCTGTACCTCTGCGGGGCAAGCCTTCTCAGAAGGCGGCGAGGCTTCTCAGAAGCCCCCCCCCGGCCTTCTGAGAGGTCGACCCTGTCTGCGGAGTAGGCTTACCCTTCTGAGAAGCCCCACCACCTTCTGAGAAGGCCTGCCTTCTCCCGTCTCCCCCCAGGGCTCGCCGCCGATCGACGTACAGACATAAGTTGGACTGGGGAGGACACGCCCCAAGATGCGCCCAAGAAGGCCCCAAGAGGCCCCAAAGGGGCCCAAGAAAGCTCCAAGAGCACTCCCAAAACAACCCCAAGAGGGTTAACATGAATGACCTCCCTAGTGCTTGAATGTGTTTCGTCGTCGCCGTCGTCGTCCCTCTTCAGGGTCGGCGGCGCTGGCCGTGAGGCCTTCGCAAGAATGAAATATACCATCGAGTTCGGCTGGAGATGACACGCGAGAGGACACACAAGACCCTCCCGAGGGCCACAATGCCTGAGGAATGCAGAGGACACGGAAGGTCAACACACATACTGGACACAAGGGTACCCTTGACTTGACAGGGTCGACCTGCTAATCAAATTCGACTATACCTAGACGGGCGCGTTCCACTACTCGCAAAGTGACTACTCGCAAATGGGCTGGATCCGCTACGGGGGGTCTACGATCTTTCACGTCGAGGCGAACGTGTTTTTCAGGTGTTTGCGAGTAGGCACTTTGCGAGTAGTGGAACGCGCTCGGTGAAGAACGGCATAAACGTCAACTTCCGGAGGTGCGCGCTGATTTCTCGGATCGGCGCTGGAGCGCGCGGAGCGCGCGCCAGGGGCGGCGCCTCCGGCGCCGCTAGGCGGCTCCAGCACCGACCCGAGAAATCCGCGGGGACCTCCGAAAGTCTGTGTGTCATCATTTTCGGCGGCGCGGCCAGGGAGAAGTCAGAGGGAGAAGGCATCCTCAAAGGCGGCGCGGCCTCTCAGAAACCCTCGCGCCTTCTTACAAGTGCTCTGGGCCTCCAGGAGAGGCGAAGGAAGCTCCTCCGAGGCCTTCCGATCGGGGGCGCGCAGACATGGATTAGCGATCCACGGATCTGGCGCGCGGTCGCCCAAGTCCATGGATCGGGGGAGATGCCCTCCCCAAAATTCGGCCAGCGCCACCTCGCTCGGCGGCGGAACTCCGCGACTTCCCCTGGAAACGGGACCCGTCGCTGATCCACGCCCCCTCGATCCATGCTTGCGATCGCCTGATCCGAGCCTTCTGAGAAGCCCCGCCCCCTCTCGCTTTCCCCCCCGGGCTGGCCGCGGAATTTGAGCAGGGACCGACCGTCCCGTCATTCCTATAGTCCTACCACGAAATGTTCTTAGAACCCACAAATGTTCTAAGAACAAAAACAATTGTCTTAGAACATTTTCCCGATGTGTTAAAACAAGACAGACTCCGCCAGAAATGTTCTAAGAACATGTCCTGGAAACCACAAAAGGTTATTAGCACATTGTTTGGTAGGGCTATAGGCGAGCCAGGACGCTTCGCCGCTGCTTGAGGAATGCCAGGATGTGTTCCCCGGATGGGCGCCATCGCGGAGGACATGGCGCACCGGCCCGCGAACGCGCCGCGGCGCTGCGCGGCAGGTGGCGCCCTCACGAAGCCGGCGACATCGCTCGGGCCGAGCGGGGCGGCGGCAGTGACGAGCAGCGCGGGGGCGCCAAGCAGTGGTCATCTCGCCTGTCGCCCGTCAGACGTCCATTCCACGTGCATGTTTCGGTTTCGGGCGTGCTTGTCTGGCTCGAGGAGCCAGGATGCTCCTCGATGGTCATCGCCGAGGTGAAATATGCACACGTCCGAGAACGAAGGCTTGGAAATGGGCACCCACACCAACAGAGGGGGTGGCCTCCGCTAGGGGAACATGATCCTAGAGTTGGTGCTGGTGGTGATCGTGCAGCCACCTGGGAATCCCGAATGCTGCCGCCGCCACTACCACCGAGATCGGGATCATCTTCGCTCGGTGGAGCTACACCACCGATACTGGTATTGGTGTCAACCTCCAGGCCTCAGAGGTCACGGCGGTGGCAGATGCAGCAGAAGCGCCATGCGAAGCAAAACTGCTGCCATGCAGAATGATGATATGGCCGCGTCCGTGTTGTAGCAGTGCCGACCTGCGGCAGGCACGCATCCGTGTGGGCGGGCATGCTGTTGGGGGGCGGAAAGATACGGATACGTGTTGTCCCCGGACCTCTCTTGGGGTGCGTTCTGACCAGAATTTCGAGGCGAATCCAGCGGTGACAACGAGGATTCCCCAGGAGGACCAGGAAAGGCCGAAAACGAAGGGGACAACACGTATCCGTATCTTTTTCTCCCCCGATGCTGTGCGACCCCGGTCCCCTCGGAGGGAGTCCTCGGGGGCTCCACGGGGCTGACCCCGGGCTGGCCCCGCGACCCACAGGGGCTGTGCAGGCTCGTGTTGGCCATGCCCGCCGCTCCGGTACACAGAGCCCTCTGTGTCGCGAACAGACTGGGCGACGGCATGTGAGTTTTGACGCCGCGAGGCCTAACACGCCAAGTGAAGGGCTAACACTGCCTATAACCAGCCTCGACCTTGTCCCCACGCCGAAGATCGGCAGGCCCAGGGCGATGACAGTCTTGGGGATATGCCCTCAGAAGCTGAGTGAAACCCGACGATCGGCAAAGAGATAGAGTGATGCCAAGATTCGGGATCGGGATACGCTTCAAGCCGGTCAGCTCAGCGGTGCCAGTCCTTCCCTGCGCGTTCGCGGAGCTCTGCTCCGTGCCACCTCTTCGGCGCAGCGGCCGTCACGGGGCCCACTCCCAAACCCCAACCCTGTTGACGTGGCGTTCAACTCCAACAGGGTCGTGGAACGTCTGGCGGTCTGAGCCAGTCTGGACCATTCCCGGACTCCGCGGCCGCAGAACGCGATGGGAGGACGACCGACGAACGATGACCGACGAACAGAGACGGCGACCGATGAAGACCGACGACCGACGACGACGACGGCGACGATGACAAAGCTGTTGACGACCGACGGCCGAAGACGACGACGCAGAAGTGTGAGGAGATCAGATTGCTCCGATTCGATATCGACTCCATCTGACTCGATCCGATCTGACTCCGATACTCCGACGATCCGAAGCGGCCAACTGCCTGCGTGGCGCTACTGCCTCCTTGCGCGGCCGATCCGGTGCAATCTCGACTCTGTGCCGATGCAGTCCGCTCCGACACACATTCATCGTCGGTCCAACTCCCCGATTCTATGCTGACCGATCCTGGGAGGTGGGAGGGCGGGGACGGACGGAGGAGCGAGGAAGGAGGGGTAAGAAGGGGGGGAGGGACTGGGGAGGGAGGGAGGGCGACAGACGGATTCAGAGATTCAGATCTATCGCGAAGCGAATCCGAAATAAATTAAGACCGAGCCTCCGTCTCAGCTTTACTGAGAACTTTGGGCGTGAGGCCTTTGGCTACTCTGGCAAGGTATGCCTTGCCCGTCTTGGTCGGGGGCTTGCATTCCTTGGCGAGGCCTCTCAGCTGCTGTGAGCCGATGCACCCACAAAATCCGCAGAACCAGACTTCGAGAGGCTCGTGAAAGCTCATCTGATGAACGGGTGGACCCACCCCCAGCGAGATGTAAACGCCGCCCCTGAGGTACCCTAACAGTGTGACTGGTGCACCGAGTGGGTTGAAAGCATTCGGACATTAAAAACTCCCCCTTAATTGCCGCAGTCGCGGACCCGTGACACGTCGTGCACTTCATACCGCATGGGCTGACAGTATGAGTGGAATTGAAAAGGGCCACCGCGGCAGGAGCGGGGGGAGCGAGTCGGGGAGCACGAGCAGGAGCAGCAGGGGCCCGGTTTTCCAAACGACCCGCACGCTCGAGTTCAGCAACCTCTAAAGTAGCCCGAAGCAAACGGTGGCGAATTTTGCAAGCGTCAGCCTCGATTATCAAAACACGATGCCTCTGGGTCTCAGGGACACGAGCGGCCTTGGCCGCTTCTCCAGCCAGAACGTCGGCGAAGATGTTCCCTTCGATCATCAATCGGGGCACGTCTTTGGCAATGATCTCGGAAGTCTCGAGGTGAGACGGGACCCACAGGACAACAACGGAGCCAGGGTCCCGATGTTTGGCTCAAAGATCCTTACCTATATCACGCCAGAGGTCTACATTGGCTCCTCGAGGGGCCTGAAAGAGACGGTCCCACCACCCTGCACAGACGGCGTCGCTGTCCGTCACGTAGACAAGGGGGCCGTCCGAAAACCTCAGGGCAGTGAGCAACATGTAGAGTTCCCCCCTAGCGACCGTTTGAAGGGGGCCAGGGAGGTGACCTAAAAGATACCGAACACCGTCATTGGAGCGCCACTGAGAGGAATCGACAACCGCAACCCCAACCCGTCGAAGACGAGGGTCGTGGGCGTCGGGGCCTCCTGAGGCGTCCCCATGCAAAACAACAGGATTATCAAGGGTGCCAACGCCGAAATACAGAGGATCGATCTCCCTCGCTTCGGGAGGGGCCGACCAGGATTCCACAGGGGCGGGGGGGTCAACCTTGGTCCAGGAGGCAGGAATTAACCCCCTAAACCAAAAACATTCGTCACTAGCAGACTGAACTATCGCCTTATGGCACAGCTGGTTAGAGTGCGCATACGCGGCAGAAGCAGCATCCGAATTACACTCACATGTGTAA